AGCACCTTGGTGGGTCTCGTCCCTGTTCTGCTCATCGTCCTGTCCTATTTCTACATTTTGTCCTCCATTCTGCAGATCCGCTCCAGGATCGGCAGGCGCAAAGCCTTCTCCACCTGCGCTTCACACCTTGCTGTAGTAACACTCTTTGTTGGAAATGCCTTTGTGAACTACAACCAGCCCAGTGCTGGCTACTCTCTAGAGGTGGACACCTTGATCTCCACCATGTTTTGCATCGTCACCCCCATGTTGAACCCCTTGATCTACAGCCTCCGCAACAAGGAGGTGAAGGGGGCCCTGAGGAAGATTCTCAAATGCTGGAGAAAAGCATAGTTTTCATTCATTTATTGACAACAAACATTTATTGTGTCTGGGAAGAACCCATAGAAAAAATTATTTTTTCCGGTTGGAAACTCTGCTGTGAGGATACGAAGAAGGTTTGTTAAGAAATGCTGATCTTCTCTGGAAATTTCTTTAATTTATCTTCTTTTCTCATTGATCACATCCAAAATTGTCTCTTGACTTCTTTTTGTATTCACTGTTCTATTGTATAAAATAAGTTCCAATGTTGGTGAGATGGTTAGCAAACTGAATGAATGAATGAATGAATGAATGAATGAATGAATGAATGAATGAAAGCTTTACTTGCATCCCAAACTATTCTGAAATCAGTACCTTTATCTACATTTTTTTTTTAAAAAAATCACTTTTGATTTATTTTCGAAATTCTCCGCTATTGCTTGTTTCTGCAGCAACATATAGTCTCCCTCTAGGGCAGGGGTCTTCAAACTTGGCCACTTTAAGACTTGTGGACTTCAACGCCCAGAATTCCTCAGCCAGCCAGGGCTGGTTGAGGAATTCTGGGAGTTGAAGTCCACAAGTCTTAAAGTGGCCAAGTTTGAAGACCCCTGCTCTAGAGCAAGGGTGGGAAACCATGGCTCTTTTACGGCTTGTGGACTTAAACTCCCAGAATTCCACGCAGGCTCAGGAATTCTGGGAGTTGAAGTCCACAAGCCATAAAAGGGCCTTGGCGCCTCATCCCTGCTCTAGACTAGAGGAAGTAGATTTCCTTCTATAAACCAAACTCACAGGATTATGATCTGAACAAGGCTTTGGTAATCCTTCTGCTTTAGACACATTAGAAGCCAAGCTCTTTGGAAGCCAAACCACAGCTATTCTGGTAAAGGATCAATGTCTTTCAGAAATTTCTGTCTCCGTATATCAACCTACACCAAAAATTATCCTTTAAATTAAAAAAAAAATGCCTCTTCTTTTGAAGTTTGCCTTAAGTAATTTTAATATTTTTCCCAGAAATATATGTATGGAGATCATTCCATTCCAGTCCTCCATCAAACACCAATAATCGTCAGAGAAAATATGGCTAGTCCAGGGGTAGGCAACCTTGACTCTTTTATGACTCATGGACTTCAACTCCCAGAATTCCTGAGCCAGCACTCTGTACAGTCAGGGGAACACAAAGTGTCCATGGGACACACCACTAAAAATGGAAGCCATCGTTCCTTCATAAACTGTACTCTGAGGGAGTCACGGCAACACTTTTCTCTTTCGCTGCACAGATTATCTCAAATGGAACGATGGGAACCGTGACAAAATGTTTACTTTTGTCTGCAAGTGCATATTTTAGTGTCAATTGCCTCTGCTCCAGAGAGAAGGAAGCACCTGGTGAAGTCTGGAGAAGCAACGGAGCCCTGTCAAGACCTCTGCTCTGCATTCCTTCGCTTAATGGAGTCTTTATGCAGCTTGCATCTGATTTGGCCCCTTCTGATGGGCTAGCAGGGCAAATAAAATCTGTCTAGCATGACTGGTGTCATTTATTTGGCAAAGCCAGAAGTCTGTTGAGGTTTGAAGGTCAAGACCCTCCAGTGATGCTACGATGCTCTCTCGCATGTTCATTTCACTTCAGATGGAGGGTTGAGAATCTTCTGGACCTCAGCACCATTTTCCTGTCCTCTAAACTGATTTAGTTGGGTAGCTGGGATGACCTTCACTTCTTGGGTCACCCTGCAAGGAATGCACACCCTCCCAGCATCCTTTGCTCATCCTTCCCAGGAACCCCCTGCCCTCCTCCCCAGCACCACAACGAGACAGCCCGGCAAGACCTGGAAGGAGAGAAGTCACAGTTAAATGGAATTCAGCTGGTTACTTTCACTGTGTCATCCAGGGTTGAGGTTCTCCTGGGAGGTGATGATGATCCCATCAGTGGGATGGAGAAATGGCCACTGAATTCTGGGATGACTAAGAGTGGACTCTTTCATGACCATCTCAGATGTTACCCATGTAAAAACGGTCACAGTGTTTCGCAAATAGGTACCGGTGAAGAGAAGCAACGTGTTGGGGTCACGTGGCCCTCATATCTTGAACTTCTCAAGTCTGGGTCCGATGGGTGGACAAAGGGGGTCAACCTTGGCTCCAGAGTGGAGAATGAGGCTGGTCTCTTGGGTCAGAAAAAAGTTGTGAGAATTTCATATGTAGCAGCATCTTTTTTTTTATGGAGTCAGATTTTGTCTTTTGTGCCGCTTGGTTAATATAGACCAGCTGGTCCCTCAGGAAAGTAAAACTCTATTGAGTTCAATCGAAATAACTTTTACTGAGAGAAACTGGATACAGAAAAGTCATGCGGAATCTGAAGGTCCTGCACAGAGCACAAAGTGATTCTTCCACTTCCTCCCCCCCAACCAATCCATCAGCAGCCAATGTGATGTGGCAAGGTTGTTTTGAGAATGCTGAGGTGTTGGGTAGATAACAAGTCACTCTCAGGGCACGAAGGCCTTGGAACCAGACTGGAACCAGCTGGGAGGGAGTCTGCTCCGTCTCCAAAGACAATCCCCCTCCCTAATTCCCAAGGGGTTACAGTAGAAGGAAAAGCATGTGAAAAATGCCAGCCTTCTTCCCTCTCCTCCGATAGAATGGCAGGACATGATGGTGGACCTGACACGAATGTATAATCTATAACCCTAATCCAAATTATACAGCATACAATCAGGCGCTGAAGTGTGTGTCTTAGCAAGAAGAATGGCCTTTACTAATTTAGCTGAGGAGGGAAGGACAGAGGGAAGGAAGGTGGCAGGGAAGGAAGGGGAAGGAAGGAAGGAAGGAAGGAAGGAAGGAAGGAAGGAAGGAAGGAAGGAAGGAAGGAGGGAGGGAGGGAGGGAGGGAGGGAGGGAAGGATTTAAACATCTTGCATTTTGTAAAATGCCCTTGGATTCATTTCTGAAAGACCAGCTACAAACTATAGTGAGAATTGAATTCTGATTTGAGAAGGACTGATCGATGCAAAGTTACGTCTTACTTCGATCAGTCGGAACGAGAGAAGGAAGAAGACGACAAAAGGGGTCGGGACTTGAGACACGGCCAATTGTTCAGGGAGTTGTGAGTTTTGCCCCAGAGGGTCCCTGCTGAGTCTCCTCTCAGCTCTACTCCCTGCAGGGATGTTCTCAAGGCCAGGACACCAAGGCACATTTCCCCAGGTGACTTACCTCCAGTCACGGATAATGCAGAACTAGGAGTGTTGCTTCTGTTGTGAGAATGAGCTTCTAAACACCTCCCTTCTGCTCCGTGGGCAGAGCTTTGGCTGAGCCAGCTCCCATCTCTTTTTGTCCAAATCCAACTGCGGGAGAACAAGGGGAGAAAGTGACTCTGCTTCAGCCACAGCTGGTCTCCTGCAGGTGGGATAACAGTCCAGGTGAGCCACTTCGTGGTCCATCCAGCATCCTCAATTTCAACTTGGAAGGGGAGAGAGGCAACGTCCTACCAAGACTTTTAGGATTTTGAAGATCAAGAAGGGGTAGGCTTCTTCTGTGTTAAAGCTGAAAGTAAGTCAAGCATTCATTGCGTCCCCCATGGAGTTACAGCATGTCCAAGGGCATAATTTGGGCTGGGCTGAGTCCCCCATTTATTGGGAGAACTTAAAGAGCTTAAAGAACTTAAAGAGAGATTAGGAGGGAGAAGGAATCCTGAAATGGCTAATACGTGACCACAGCTGAATAAAGCTTACTCTTCAATCAGAATAGAGCTGGAAGGGAGTTTGAAGATCTTCTAGTCCAAGAATGAAGTGGGGAAGGAAAGGGCAGGGAGGCAGGGAAGGAAGGACAGGAGGGAGGGAGGGAATGTAAGGAGAGAGGAAGAAAGGAAGGAAGGGAGGGAGGGAAGGAAGGAAGGAAGGAAGGAAGGAAGGAAGGAAGGAGAAAAAAGAAGCAGAAGCAGAAGCAGAAGCAGAAGCAGAAGCAGAAGCAGAAGCAGAAGAAGAAGAAGCAGAAGAAGAAGAAGAAGAAGAAGAAGAAGAAGAAGAAGAAGAAGAAGAAGAAGAAGAAGAAGAAGATGATGATGATGATGATGATGTAAAAAAGAGAGGAAGGAAGGAAGGAAGGAAGGAAGGAAGGAAGGAAGGAAGGTCTCAAAATATCCACCTGTATAAATTTGACCCTTAATGCAGGTTATTTTCAGGTATAGGGGATCCCTCAGATTTCATTCTTCACATTCTTCTTCTGTGCATTTCTGTCTCTTCCCAGCTGTCCCTTTCCTTCCTCATGGATTCACAGAACAAAACCCAAGGGACAGAATTCATCCTCCTTGGTTTCTCCAGCCTTCTGAGCCACCAGATTCATCTTTTCTTGGTGTTCCTGGCTGCCTATTTGGCCACGCTGATGGGCAACCTCATGATCGTAACCCTGATTCTCCTGGATTCCTGTCTTCACACCCCCATGTACTTCTTCCTCAGCCAGCTCTCCTGCTTGGATGTTTGCCTTTCTTCTGTGGTGGTACCAAAGATCTTGGTGAACTTCCTACGCCAAGAACAGACCATCTCCTACAACCAATGCCTGGCCCAAGCCTTCTTCCTGATTGGCTTTGCGGGATGTGAGCCGGCCCTGCTGTCCGTCATGGCCTATGACCGCTATGCTGCCATCTGCCAACCTTTGCACTATGCCCACCTAATGAGGGGCAAGTTGTGCGTCCAGCTGTCTGTGGCCATTTGGCTCTGGGGCTTCCTGGACTCAACTATCTACACTGCCCTGGCTTCCAGGTTAGAGTTTTGTGGAAACCACCTGATTCCTCACATCTTCTGTGATGTTCCTCCATTACTGAAAATTGCCTGCAGTGACACCTCAGTCAATGAGTTGTCCACTCACATCACGGGCACCTTGGTGGGTCTCGTCCCTCTTCTGCTCATCGTCCTGTCCTATTTCTACATTTTGTCCTCCATTCTGCAGATCCGCTCCAAGATTGGCAGGCGCAAAGCCTTCTCCACCTGCGCTTCACACCTTGCTGTAGTAACACTCTTTGTTGGAAATGCCTTTGTGAACTACAACCAGCCCAGTGCTGGCTACTCTCTAGAGGTGGACACCTTGATCTCCACCATGTTTTGCATCGTCACCCCCATGTTGAACCCCTTGATCTACAGCCTCCGCAACAGGGAGGTGAAGGAGGCCCTGAGGAAGATTCTCAAATGCTGGAGAAAAGCATAGTTTTCATTCATTTATTGACAACAAACATGTATTGTGTCTGGGAAGAACCCATAGAAAAATTAGTTTTTGCTGTTGGAAACTCTGCTGTGAGGATACGAAGAAGGTTTGTTAAGAAATGCTGATCTTCTCTGGAAATTGCTTTAATTTATCTTCTTTTCTCATTGATCTCATCCAAAATTGTCTCTTGACTTTTTTTTTGTATTCACTGTTCTATTGTATAAAATAAGTTCCAATGTTGGTTAGATGGTTAGCAAACTGAATGAATGAATGAATGAATGAATGAATGAATGAAAGCTTTACTTGCATCCCAAACTATTCTGAAATCAGTAACTTTATCTACATTTTTTTTTTAAAAAAATCACTTTTGATTTATTTTTGAAATTCTCCGCTATTGCTTGTTTCTGCAGCAACATATAGTCTCCCTCTAGGGCAGGGGTCTTCAAACTTGGCAACTTTAAGACTTGTGGACTTCAGTTCTCAGAATTCCTCAGCCAGCCAGGGCTGGTTGAGGAATTCTGGGAGTTGAAGTCCACAAGTCTTTCTTTTTTTTATTGAAAAGTTTTATAAAAGTTACAATATAAACCCCAAAACCAACCCACCTTAAACCCCCCCTCTCCCTCCCCCACTTCCCAGAGCTGAATACAGGGTTACAAATATAATAATCATAATCTAACTGTAAGGACCCACCCCACTTTGCATATTAAGAAGACAGAACTCCTGGAATATTTCTTCCAACAGGCATCTTTATTAAGAGAAAGCTGGTTGCAGGCATTCTAGGCAGGACTTGGGATCCAAGCTCTCCCATTCAAGGTTTTAAGGGATCCCCCAGTAGCCCCACCCCATCACCCCCTTCTTCCAGCGACAGTCCCAGGCGTTACATTCCCACCCCCTTTTCCTCACTGCCGGGAGGAGAGACTTCAGAAAGGATTACATGAAAGGTAATGGCCCCATTGTTATTGTTAGTCCTTTTGGTGATATCCACATCCAGTCCCTTTGAAGTGCACTGAAGGAAGTGAGGGCCATAAAGCCCCTTTGTTCACCCCTTTCCCTTCATCGTATGACAGAATCCAGGGAAGGCATAAATGGGGTTTTTCATAGTTGATAACTAGAGATGAAATATAATTGGATTCTGACACTAACTAACATTAACCAACTATATAAATAACCAAGTCCATAATGCGCTTTAACTCCCCTTTAACATAAATATAATAATAATTAAAACATAAACAAATTAGTATCCTAATTATTAAACAATAAAATATCCATATTGTTCAACAATACTAATACTAAAAGTAATAATAATATCATATAATTAAAACTAATAAAAATTTCACTATAATAAACTATTAATACTAATAATACTCTAAAATTTACTCATAGGCTAAATGGAACTTTTTAGTCCCATTTAGCCAGGCTGAGGAATTCTGGGAGTTGAAGTCCACAAGTCTTAAAGTTGCCAAGTTTGAAGACCCCTGCTCTAGAGCAAGGGTGGGAAAACGTGGCTCTTTTACGACTTGTGGACTTCAACTCCCAGAATTCTACGCAGGCTCAGGAATTCTGAGAACTGAAGTCCACAAGTCGTAAAAGGGCCTTGGCGCCTCATCCCTGCTCTAGACTAGAGGAAGTAGATTTCCTTCTATAAACCAAACTCACAGGATTATGATCTGAACAAGGCTTTGGTAATCCTTCTGCTTTAGACACATTAGAAGCCAAGCTCTTTGGAAGCCAAACCACAGCTATTCTTGTTAAGGATCAATGTCTTTCAGAAATTTCTGTCTCCATATATCAACCTACACCAAAAATTATCCTTTAAATTAAAAAAAAAATGCCTCTTCTTTTGAAGTTTGCCTTAAGTAATTTTAATATTTTCCCAGAAATATATGTATGGAGATCATTCCATTCCAGTCCTCCATCAAACACCAATAATCGTCAGAGAAAATATGGCTAGTCCAGGGGTAGGCAACCTTGGCTCTTTTATGACTCATGGACTTCAACTCCCAGAATTCCTGAGCCAGCATGGCTCAGCTTGGAAACCTCTCCCTTTCCCCTCAGCATGGCTGGCTCAGGAATTCTGGGAGTTGAAGTCCACGAGTCATAAAAAGGCCAAGGTTGCCTACCCCTGGTCTAGGAGGCTCACCGCTTAGAACAGGAGGGCTTAGGACAGGGGTAGGCAACCTTGGCTCTTTTATGACTCATGGACTTCAACTCCCAGAATTCCTGAGCCAGCATGGCTGGCTCAGGAATTCTGGGAGTTGAAGTCCATGAGTCATAAAAGAGCCAAGGTTGCCTACCCTGGACTAGTTTCTCTACAAATCCTTTATACAACAGGACTTGTCCTTTGGGCATCAATTCCCAGTGTCAAAGTCTTAGTTCCACATATAGAACATAGAATAATAGACTTGGAAGGGACCTTGGAGGTCTTCTAGTCCAGTCTAGTGTCCTTTCAAGACTTGCTGGGCTGTCTCACTGTGCTCTGGTGAGGGTGGCAGGGGGTTCCTGGGAAGGATGAGCAAAGGATGCTGGGAAGGTGTGCATTCCTTGCCGGGTCACCCAAGGAGTGAAGGTCATCCCAGCTATCCAACTAAATCAGTTTGGGGGATGGGAAAGCGTTGTTGAGGTCCAGCAGATTCTCAACCCTCCATTTGAACATGCGAGAGAGCATCGTAGCATCAATGGATGGTCTTGAGCTTCAAACCTCAACAGACTTCTGGCTTTGCCAAATAAATGACACCAGTCATGCTAGACAGATTTTATTTGCCCTGCTAGCCCATCAGAAGGAGCCAAATCAGATGCAAGCTGCAGAAAGACTCCATTAAGCGAAGGAATGCAGAGCAGAGGTCTTGACAGGGCTCCGTTGCTTCTCCAGACTTCACCAGGTGCTTCCCTCTCTCTGGAGCGGAGGAAATTGGCCCTAGAAGTGGCACTTGCAGATAAAAGCAGCTATTACATCACAGTTCCTATCGTTCCATTTGAGATAATCTGTGCAGCGAAAGAGAAAAGTGTTGCCGTGACTCCCTCAGAGTCCCCAAAAAGGATTTCATGGAGCTTGTTTGTCTTATTATGAGCTGATGGTCCCGTAATAAGTTTTACAAACATCTCCAGTTTATGAAGGAACGATGGCTTCCATTTTTAGTGGTGTGTCCCATGGACACTTTGTGTTCCTCTGACTGTACAGAGTGGGTGACTGTGACAGCTCAGAGACCCCAGGGACAATTTATTTATTTATTTATTTATTTTCCAACTTCTATGCCGCCCTTCTCCATGGTTCTCCATGGTTCACCAAGCAGCTCAGAGGGATGAAGAGACATAAGGGACGCCTGGAGCAGAACTGGAGGAAGACAAAGAGTGAAGCCAGCCAGGCACCAAGGAAAGCAGGATCCAATCTTGGTTGGTCACCCTGACCAGAGGTTTAGCCTCCTGAGCTTTTGGACTCATCTGGAGCCCATCCTCAGGGTACTTCCCACCAGCATGTCCGAAAGATTGGAAGACAAAGCCTCTGGTCCAGGTGACCGACACGGATCGGAACCTGCAACGTTATCCTGGGAAAGGTATATTCGCCTTCATTCAACTGGGGAAAGCCCAAATGAGGCTCCACGTTGTGGTGACATGAGAGGCGAAGCACAATTACTTCTCTGCCCTCAGTGCATCCTCAGGTAGAAAACCAGCAGCCCTCTTTCAGGTGAGCAGATCCCTCCTAGGTACGGAGGAACGAGGGGAGCCCTGGTAGATTCACTACTGGAATTGGTGAGACAAAGTCTCTTGACTTCCCTCAGAGTTTGACTCTGGCTGGGCAGACCCTTCGGAGGTGATGGGTAGACATGCTTGACCCAGGCTGTTAGGGAGGACTGGTGAGGTCAAGCCCTCGGCCTCTATAATGTGGGGTGGGGGTGGGGGTTGAGCCTTTCACCACTCCTCCAACTTCTACATGAATCTGCTAGCAGAGGTCCTTTGCAGGGTTGCGGTTGGGTATCACCACTATGCTGACGATACCCAATTATATCTCTCTCCACCCCTAGACAGACAGGGGATGCCATGGAGATGCTAGCTGAGTGCCTGGAGGGCTGTAAACAGTGGTGGGATTCAGCCAGTTCACACCAGTTCGGCAGAATCGGTAGCTAATTTTTGGTTGTCCAGGCCCAGAACGGACTTCCGGAAGTGGCATCCACACAGAGAACTGGTTGTTGATATATTTGAATCCCACCACTACATAGATAGATAGATAGATAGATAGATAGATAGATAGATAGATAGATAGATAGATAGATAGATAGATAGATAGATGGATGGATGGATGGATGGATGGATGGATGGATGGATGGATGGATGGATGGATGGATGGATGGATGGATGGATGGATGGATGGATGAATGGATGGATGGATGGATGGACGGACGGACGGACGGAGAGAGAGAGAGAGAGAGAGAGAGAGAGAGAGAGAGAGAGAGAGAGAGAGAGAGAGAGAGAGATGAGTGGTAGGATTCAGCCAGTTCGCACTGGTGGCTAATTTTTGGTTGCCCAGGCCCAGAACGGACTTCCAGAAGCAGCATCCACACAGAGAACCAGTTGTTCACCTATTTGAATCCCACCACTGGCTGGAAGGGTCTGGATGGAAAGGAATGTGACACTGAGAAGAGTGGTTCTCCCCCAG